ACTTTTACGGGTTAACTTAACTTTGTGATTAAGTTCGAATTCGTTAAAGCGAACATAGTTCAACGATAATTGACATAGTTAAGAGATTGCGAGTTTGATCTCCACCCCATCCTATACGTTGGACTTAAATTGAGATATACATTATTATTTATAAAATGTAAAATGAGTGGGAGTGAGAATGTATATTGGGGCATGCAGATGAGAGGCAGATTATAAACGCCCACAGCGGCAGTTGGGCGCATATGAAGGAGAATCTGTCGACCGTGGAGTAACATGTGAATATTTAATATTCAAAGGCCAACGACTAATGTGAAAATTTGACATTTATTCATTTTTCTCCACCACAGTCAAATCAATCACCAGCTCTTTTTCTTTTTCGGCTCAAAAAACAAACAATAAATCAGTACAAGAGGACAGTGACATTAAATAATTACTCCGACGATACACGGGCTTCTTTCAGTTAGATTGTTGTTGTTGTATGGGCCCATTTAGAAAGGCCTCGGCCCGTCCTTACAAAAAGCCCAACTCGAACGTATCCTACAGAAGCCACGGCTTCCTCAACTCCAACTGTCTTGAAATATGTTAATTAGTCCATCAGTTTCTTTTGAAGAAAGAAAAGGAATTGAGTTGATAAGTTTTGGTAGGTTGAAGTTGAAAGGAGGAGCCGTAGGAAGAATCTAACTATTAACTATCATTCCAAAGCCTTGCCCAAAAGGTGCGTTTTAGGGGCTCAAAAATAGGCCAATAGAGTGAACAAATAAATAAAAAGAAAAAGACAAGTCTAAATCAGACAATAGACACCCTTAATCACACTGCTGGTTGTTGGAGACACCATTGTCTGTGTATTTAAACACCAAACTTCACTCATTTTTCCCACACTATCCCCTTCTTTTTCCCTCCCCCAAAATACACTCTTTAATCTCCTCCTCCTTCAACTAACTTATTAATTACCCAAAAAACTTAACTATTACCAGAGTATGGATATCCACTATTCGCCACATCAATATCGTATTAAACTCCCCAATATTGGAGAGAAAAAAATCAGTATCTATTATGTAATTTTATCAATGAAACTCTAGTTGTTCTCTATGTTCTCTCTTTTTTCAATATTCTCTTCAAAGTAGATAATATTATACCATTCCTCGTTATATGAATGTGAACCCTTAAAGGCTGCATGCCGTTTGGCACTGTGGCTTCCCAAAATTGCAGGTTTTAAAGCAGCGGTGAAACGGCACCCCACTCTAACAAAACAAAAACAAAAAACAACCGAAACGACAACAATAATGAGAGCCTTCAGCCTTCTGTTTCTGCAATAACTCAAAACTTTCAATTTCTACACACAGAGGGGGAGAGAAATGAAAAGAGAGTTTTGTGTTTTTTGTTTTCTTGTTATTATACCACAAACAAACAAATCTTTATTTTGGACCACCCTCTACTTTGCACTATATAAATGTGTGTACATTTTTTCTCTCCTTCAATTCAATTCATTGTTTTGGCAATCATTTCGATCCCCTCCAAATCTAGTACCTTATATATGTATGTATTTTATTTGAATGAAACCAAACTATACATATACATCAAAATTAAACAAATAAAAGAACCCCGATCAATCAACCACATTTACCCCTCAGAAAAGCACTCATCCCTCCATAAAATTTTTATTTCTGTCGGTTCTGATAATTTGTTGAAGGTAGCAGAAAAAAGACAAATAAAATTTCAGAAAAAGAAAGATTGATTAATTATAGGTAATAATTGTCCATCATGGACGCTAAGATACTCCAAATTCAACTATATACTTTTTTCCTTTAATGTTTGATTATCGAGTGGGATAATGATGGGTTACCACAGTTTCATTAGGATTTTGAATCAATTTTTATAAGCTCTACGATACATAATAATTTTAAATTTTAATGTGTAAAAGGCAATGGCTTTTGAAGTTGATGTCATGAAGGGCCCAGATGAATTTAAGGCCTATTTATAATCCAATTTAGATTGTGGCCCAGTTCACTCAAGTTTTGGTTTTTGTCTAATCCAAGCCCTGGATAACCATTAACTTGGAAGAGAGAGAGAGAGAGAGAAGCCAATTTTTACATCTGATTTAGATTTTAGATTTAGGGTCCATTTTTTTTATATATCATAAAAGGACCATTCATAGGAGTCTTACGATTGAGATTGAACACCGACACACTTTTTTTTTCCTCTATAATTCTTTTCCCTTTTTTGTGCAATTTCAACAAGAATGAATTTACACTTTTTTTTTTTTTTTGCTACCCATTTTGCTCGGAAATCATGAAACAAAATGCATATGAAATAATAGATTTTTCTTTTCTTTATTGACTTTTTTTTCGGTTAAATTACTTCTTTAGCCTTGGCTTTCAACTCCATCTAAACAAAATCGACCCATAAAATTGTGTTTTATTTTTCTTACTATTAATTTGGAAATTAGTTTTTCTTTTTCTCTCTTTTAATGTTTTGGGTAGAATAATGTATTGCATTGCACTCAAGCTGTTGATTCTTTACCATTAAAGTCCAAGGAACAGTTAATATAATAATATGAAAAGAAAAAGGTATAGAATGAGATCGCCATTGAAGGATGAAAAAGAGAGAGAGAGAAAAAAGTGGAATTGGGTTAAAGAAGTTCCAATTTCCAAAGGCAAACAAATAGAATCCAATGAGAGATATTTAAAAAAGAAATCAAAAAACAAAAAATACAAAAAATCACCATTAATTCTCAGGCATTGGATGGAAGAATGAGGTGTTTTGTTTGTGTTGAAAAAAGAGCTGTGGATTCAAGCTGTCTCATACAACCGCGTGGGTCCCCCAAGGCGTATAATTTCGTTGTATCATTTTTTTTTTATTCTTTTAACCAAAAACCCATAAATGAAAAATTCTTACTTCCCAACAAAGTAAAGCCCTCAAATTTATCATTAAAAATATAAAATAATAAAAATAAACGAAGACAGAGAGATGAAACCCAACAATATTTAAAGATTTATAGTTATTATTGTTATTATTATTATTAAAAAAAGGCTCTATCCCCATTATCTTTTTGGCCTAAAAAACTCAAGGATGTCTCTCACTTATCCTTAAAGCAATCTCAAAATCATTCTTTGGTTTCAAGTCACAAGCTTATTATATTATATGATATGCCCAATTTATCTCCAATCATTTAAAATTAAAATCATTCCTGTTTTCCATATCTGAATCCCAAATCAAATGTGTAAATACATTAAAAAAAAAAAGTGACCCAATTGAGTGTGAAATTGAACATAATAGCTAGAGATGTGATGGGAAAAATATTCGGAGATATATTATTTTAGACTTTTAATTTGATGAGAAGTCACATTAGGGATATAAAAGAAGAGACCCAACAAAACTATCAACAAATAAAAACTATATAATAAAATGTTGAAATTAATTAATATTATGTCACTTTTTGTTTCAATAAAAAGGTCTCTGGGTATTACTGAAATTGAAAAGATATATAAAAATATCAAACACGCCTTTTCATATATCATATGTTGTTTATTTGTATTTTTTATATTGCATGTGCCGCCAACTTACTCTTTTAAAAATTAAAAATTCAAAAAAAAAAAATGCAAATTACTAAACGACCACGTTTGCCTCACTTGCACTTCTTTTCATACTTTCTTGATTATTTATAATGTATTATTATACCATAAAATTATCACCCTCCGCCCCCAAATTGCAATTCATGTCACATAACTAACAAAATATATATATATTGTTTTAAATATACTTTTACATTTTGATCTTCAAAATATCATTTCTCATTCATTTGGTTATTTTCAATTTTTATTAAATGCACATTGAATTTCTATTATTAATAAGTGATGTGACGTACAGAGGTTTTATGTTTTATAATTGAAACAAGACTTTATGTCAAGT